AAGTAAGGGATGCTTATAAAATACCAAAAAATATGAAGAAAAAAGAAGCCCACCAAGGCATGCTTGTATTAAATTACCAAATATCCAGCCAAAAAAAATAGAATTTTAAAAGCAGTCAGAAAAAAACAAAATATTACAGTTGAAGGTAAATTAGTATCATAGCAGACTTCTTAACACAACCCTGAATGCCAGAAGAGCTTGGAGTGAAGTAAATCAAGCACTAAAATAACTTCCAGCCCAAATTGAATTATCCTTCAAAATAAAGATGGAGAAATAAAATATTTCCATGAAAAACACCAGGTCAAAAGTTGTACAAGAAAATACCTAAGAATATTCTCAATAGAAATTACTAAACAAAGCTGAATATGCAAAGGTTACAAAAAATTCAAGTAAGAACGATGGATAAACATCAACCAAAAAGATCAGGAAAAGAAAAACAGAGAGTTGCACAACAGAATTGCACTGCATAAGGCAGTGACAGTAAATAATCGACATATCTCAGTAATATCTCTCAACATTTATGGCAACAATACTCCAAATAAAAGACATAGATTTTCAGATTGGATCAAAAGACAAAATTCAACAATCTGTTGCATTCAAGAAATTCATCTAACCTGAAAAGATATTCACAGACTAAACAATCAAAGGAAGAAAAACAATTTTTCATGTACCAAGACACTGAAAATAAGCAGGGATAGCAATTCAGTAACATACTTGATAAACTTCAAGCTAGAGCTGATTAGAAGAGGCAAAGATTTAACTAAATACTAGTTAAAGGAACAATTTAACAAGAAGAGATAGCATTAATAAATATATGTGTACCATATACTGGAGCACCTATCTTCATAAAAGATCAAATAAACATTAATGCAATCATATTAAGGGATTTTTACAACCTCTTTTGCAAAGAGTTGGGTCAACAAACAAAAAATCAATAAGGAAATATCAGAGCTGAACCACATCCTTGAACATATGGAATTAATAGATATTTACATAACATCTGACCACTCTACAATGTAGTATATATTCTTTTCAGCAGCATGTGGTACTTTTTCAAAATAAATCACATACCAGTGTGCAAAGCCTGATTAAATAAATATAAAAGAATTGAAATTATCCCATGCATACATTCAGACTACTTCACAATGAAAATACAAATCAATGACAGAAAAAATTTCAAAGAAGGGAGGAGGAGCAAAGATGGTAGATAGATAACAGCTGGCTATAGAGGCTCCCTGAGATAGTCAACTTAGAATTCAACCTAATACAGAGTGGGGAGCCCCAAACAGAGGGAAATGAATTCTCTTGTCCCAAGAAGAAATTAAGACGAGAAGAACCAACCAAACATACAGTCCCATCAGTATTATTGGGACAGCTAAAGGTTCAGTGTTCCCGCCACAGTGGGCAAGTTGCCAACCATCCGAGGTCCCACTGCGACTTGCCAAGGTCCCACCACAACTTGCTGAGGTCCCACCATGACTTGCCGAGCCATCCGAGGTCCTGCTGCTTTGACTCACTGGAGGCACAGTTACATTGAGTTCAGGGTTCGGCAAGCTGCACTGAGAGCTGAGTTGCCAGGGTGCCTACATCAACTTGTGGTGAGTGATGGGAGTGGAGCCATTCCATAGAAAGGGGGGCTCCAGCAGATGACATTCTGGGACAGGGCAAGACTGGCAAGTAAAAGGGCAGCAGTGACTTCAGTCAGTTGTTCCTTTCCCAAACGGGATTGGTGGAGTACGCTAGGCCTGGGTCACATGACCTGACTGATACTTAATAGGTTATCCAAAATCAAGTCCCTACAGTGGTGGTGCACACCAACCACACTAACCCAGTGAAGTCTCAGAAGTTTGACTAACCTGGAGAGGAGGCGGCAGAAAGCAATACAGTGCAGGCCACAGCAGTTTGACTGACCTGGAGAGGAGGCAGCACAAAGTAATACAGTGCAGGCCACATCAGCTTGATTGATCTGGAGGGGAGGGGCCAGCATACAATGTCCCTGTTTGCAACTCACTAGCACACAGCAGTAAGAAGGGTCATCTAGCCAGCATGCTTCAGAAGAATTGTAACCAACAAAGAAAGAAACTGGGGCCTCCTAGAAGAATCAAGAAAGATGGGAAAAGGAAGCAACAACAAAAAATCCCCAGATCCCAACCCTGAGAACACTGAGCCCAGAACAGGTAAATATAAAGGAGAATGAGAACACCAAACATGCAATATCAGACACGGTGCCAGTGGACATAAAGAGATATCTTCAGGACCTCATAGACGAGTTCAAAAGTGAAATATTTAGCCAAGTAAAGCAAGATATAAGAAGATTAATAAAAGAGATGCTAAGCATCCCTCAAGCAGAGACAGATGGAAGAAGAGAGGAACTCAAACAAAGGAGAGAATCATTTGTGGAAGAATATATACAAAATATGGAATACATGAAGCAGATTCAAAGAGATTACCAGGAAATTAAAAACTCTATGGAAAGATGGCAAATCTGCTTGAAAGAAACTGAGGATAGATTATCCAAACTGGAGGACAAGTTTGCAATGTGCAAGTATGAAAGGGAAAACTTTTTAAAAATAACAAGGAAACAAGCAGTAACAATACAAAGGCTAGAAGATGACAAGAGGATCTATAACTTGAGAATAAAGAATGTGAATGAAGAAGCAGGGGTACAAACAAAGGAACTACAAAGGTTATTCACAGAAATAATTAAGGAAAACTTCCCACACATAGGAAAAGGAAATGATATTCTGATGTATGACGTATACAGAACTCCAGCCACCTACAACCAAAACAGAGCTACACCCAGGCATGTAATAATCAAGATCCCAGAAATTCAATATAAGAACAGAATATTGAAAGCTTTTAGAGACAAGAAACAAATCACCTATAAAGGAAGGCCCATCAGAATAATTGCAGACTTCTTGACACAAACCTTCAAGTCAAGAAGAGCCTGGAGTGAAATATTACAAGCCCTAACAGAAAATAACCTCCAGCCCAGATTGATATACTCTGCTAAATTGTCTCTAGAAATTAATGGAGAAACAAGATGCTTCCAAGACAAAGAGAAACTTGGGAAATTTGCAACCACCAATCCAACTCTACAGAGAATACTGAGGGAATTCTAGAGAGAGAGAAAAGTACTAGGATTCCAGGAACAGTGGCAGAGAGGCCTCAATGAATGGATCAGAAAACAGAATGAAAAAGATAAGCAGACAACTGATGGCAAAAAAAGAGCATAACAGAAATGAGGCAGAGAAGATTTTATTCAAAGCTGATATGATTAATAGTATCAAGTCTGAGAGTATAGGCAACTGCACTGAAGATGACAAGACTATGATACACATTCTGGTTTTATAACTGCCTGTTTTTGAAGTTTTATACTATATACAAAAGTTGTGTTTTTATTAATACTGTTATGTACTGATATATTCAATTATACTATGTCTGATGATATAGCCAATTCTATTGAAGATAACAAGAGACAACACAGGAACTATTGTAGGACATATTGTAGACATATAATGGCCTTATATGTCTTTTTCATTTCATATGTTTATAGGAATATGTTTTGTTTTGCCTTGTTTTGTTTTGTTTCTCCCTCTTATATAGAAAGGATAGAAATACATGTTAAGGCTCATGCATGTATAGAATCTGTAAACAATTTATGAGAACTGATCTTATGACCCATGATGAAATGAACAGATACTTTGAAGAAAAAGAGACACTAAAGTATCCAATGCTGATCCTGGAGTGTCATAAGGTGAAATCCAGCAATAGTATAATTCTTTGTTCAGAGGGATATTAGCCTGCTTGGGTTTGTTCAGTCTCAACATAAATGAAGATATGGATAACTGCATGTATGTCTAAGTGTATAGGATTGATAACCATATTACTAAGTTTTTGTTGGATAGTGGAACAGAACTCTTTGCAGTCTCACTGTTTGAATTCCCACTTAATATGTTCCACTTTTGTATCTTGAACAACTATTTGTAAGAGGACAGTATGTAAATATCAACTAGTGACTTCTTACTGTTTATTTTTTCTCTGAATGTATGTACTATTTCTACCCATTTTCTGCTTTTTTAGTCTTTGTTTAAATAAAATTTTTAAAAAATTAAATAAATTTTTAAAAAAAGAAGCTGAAGAATCTGCACCAAAAGCCAGGAGTTGATGCCCAAAGTGAAGACAAAAATTGGGGCACCTCCAAAGAGAGCAGCTGAAACTCCTCTGAAGAAAATCAGTTACAATGAAGCTCTTCCAAGAAAATCAGCTGAAATCTGTCCCTCATGTTTTCCTTTTATACCACTCCAACAACAATCCTCCTTAAAGTAGATCGTCCACATCCCCACTCAAGTTGACAGTTAATTAATCATCACAATGGTGTTTATCCCTGCCTCAGTGGGAAAAACATGGATATATCCTAGACAGATAAACTGACTATCTTGTAAATGACAGAATGTATGAAATGACAAACCTGCTCAGAAAATGAAGTAGGGGAATTTGTAACAGGAAGCTTTATCTGCAGTTTCAATGATCATTGAATGAGAGAGGTAAAAAGATGCAAAAGACTACCATTGGCTCACTGTACAGATATATTGTAGGAATCCACTATGGCCAGATGCTAAAACTAAGAAATGATCAAGAGAGATAGAACCCTGCTCCAATGGAGTATGAATCCTGCCAACACATTGGATACTGAAAGACCATTTGGGGGAGCTGCCCTGTACTGCCATTAAAATCATGCAAGAGATAGATTTGGTGAATAACAATGAGAGCTACTGTGAGAGTGTTGAGGTGTCACTGTCTATAGTTTGACAAGACACAAAAGCCATTGAAGTATGTGGGTTCAGAGTCCTGGGTTCAGAAAGAGGTCCTCTTGAGTAATATACATGAGAAAGCTCAGACTGAGGGCAGGGTCAACAATAGGAGTGTCATGGTTTATGCCTGTGTCCCCCAGGCCTCACGAATTTGCATTGTGAATTTGTAATTGGTTCATTGTCTAGTGCTTGGATTGATGGTGTCAGTGCTGCACTCACATAGGGGTGGAGCCAGGATGTGATGCAACAGCAGGAAGAAGGTGTGTCTTGCTCTTTGCCGGTTCCTGTTTGCTGTTTGCAGTCACCATGAAAGATGTCCCAGCCATGCCCGCCTACCTGGGAGCCAACTGAGTGTGGACTGAAACCTCCAAAAACTGTAAGAAACAAACCTTTCCTTTCCCAACTTGGGCATCAGGTATTTTGTCTCAGTGATGAGCATAAAGTAACTAAGACAAAGAGTAATGACATCACAGTGATCAAGTGTAAGAAAAAGTGTGCAAAGATCTGCAGTGGGATTGCCACAAATTGAGGAGAATAAGTACCTGAAGCAGAACCTCACTCCAAGCAGCAGAAAAGGAGCAGTGACTGAGGAGATGGGCTTCAAGGGAAGTCACAAGAAGCTTATCAGAGTGTATCCACCAGTGTGCAGCAATGCTGGGGAATCCCTTGCCTGCTGTACAGACAAGGAATATAGGCATGTCTCTGTGATGCCTTGGTAGACTGAGGCAGTGACAGGTAACAGAAAAATAAAGATCAGGCAATTCTTAGGAGAAGTAGGCTGCAACTGGCTTACACATGCAAAATGTTAAGAAAATTGGAAATGCTCATCAGAATACAAATTACAGGATGAAGTATTTGAGGATGGAAAATGAAAAGTAAATGAAAGATGTGGTTTTCAGAAGGGTCACTTGGGTCCCATGAAGAAAATAATCTTGCTCTCTCCTTTTCTCACAGGATGAGGATTTTAAAATGAACACCTGTATGGAAAGCTGAGTCTGAAATTCAAGATCTACAGTCTCTTCTCAGAGACCTACAAACAGGATACAGTGTGATCTGAGGTTTCTCCATCTAGATGGCAAGCCCCAACCAGACACTGGTGACCGAGTTTGTGCTGGAGGGGTTCTCAGAGCACCCTGGGCTGAGACTATTCTTGCTTGGCTTCTTCCTGTCCATCTAGATGGCAAGCCCCAACCAGACACTGGTGACCCAGTTTGTGCTGGAGGGGTTCTCAGAGCACCCTGGGCTGAGACTGTTCTTGCTTGGCTTCTTCCTGTCCCTCTATGCTGTGGCACTCACAGGTAATGCTGTGATTATTGCTTTGGTCAGCTTCACCAATGGTCTCCACAGCCCCATGTACTTTTTTCTGTGCAACTTGGCTAGCATGGATATCATCTGCACCTCCTCTGTGCTACCCAAGGTGCTGTTTGGCCTGGCATCTGCAGAAAACACCATCTCCTTCCAGGGATGCATGACTCAACTCTTCTTCCTCATCTGGTCAGCATCCTCTGAGCTGCTGCTGCTCACGGTCATGGCCTATGACCGCTATGTGGCCATCTGCTTTCCTCTGCACTACAGCTCCAGGATGAGCCCTTACCTCTGTGGGGCCCTGGCCATGGCTGTGTGGGGCATCTGTGCCTTGAACGCTTCTGTCAACACTGGTCTGATGACACAGTTGTCATTCTGTGGCCCCAGGGTGATCACTCACTTTTTCTGTGAGATCCCCCCTCTTCTGCTGCTGTCTTGCAGCCCCACACATGTGAACAGCATCATGACTCTCCTGGCTGATGCCTTCTATGGATGCCTCAACTTCCTGCTCACCCTGCTCTCATATGGCTGCATAGTGTCCAGCATCTTGCGAATGCACTCAGTTGAAGGGAGACGGAAGGCCTTTTCCACCTGCTCCTCTCACCTCATTGTGGTCTCGGTGTTCTACTCATCTGTGTTCTGTGCCTACATCAGCCCTGCCTCAAGTTACAGCCCAGAGAGAAATAAAGTGTCTGGAGTGCTGTACACAGCACTGAGCCCTGCCCTGAACCCCCTCATCTACACTCTGAGGAACCAGGAGGTTAGGCGTGCCCTGTGGAGACTTTTGCCCTTCTCTAGACGTCAGGTGTAGCTGCTCAGGAATCAGGAATCCCAACCCCCTGAAAGAAGACTAGTAAAGATGAGACTTGACTATCACCATGTTTGCAAAATCCCCCTTGAACATGGAAGCTTTAGCCTCTGCTATGTGAGTTATTTCATGTAGGTTATGTAGATCTTGTGCAGCTAGTAAATGTCTGCTCCACAGAAGCAGCAGAATTTATCCTCTAATGAACAGCTTTTCCCAATCGCTACCTTTTGCCATTGGAGGATGCTCCACTCAACCTTGTCAGGAAGTATGTGAAGACCATTACCATTTTTTCATTGTATATTCCATAATTGGGTGACTCTCCCAAAAGCTTTATGTGCAAAATCTACACTCTGTCTGATGAGACAGAATTGTAGTGGCAACTGGGGTCTCCTCCTTCCAAATGTTTGGACACAACCAGAGTCATCACTGTTTAAGAACCCTTTATCATCACGGGGCCTTATTTTACTTTCATACCCTGATGCTTTTTCTCCTTGCATGAGTTCCTTGTATATAGTTTTCATTTCTCTTGGTTACCATCAAATCCACTGTCATCATCATGCTGGAATCAATGTCGAAATACTCAGATAGTCCTAGGTCAGTTATACATCAGGAGTGCCAGCCTTCATGTGAGATGTATATAGTATGTTTTTCATGGCACTTCTTGTTTCTAGAAAGCCAAGTTGCCTTCTCAGTTGCACGTGATGTCCCAGATGCCCACACATAAATTTTCATCACCATGAGTCACCTGCAAAAAGTCCTTGGCTCCTGATGCACTTGTTTCTTCATTACATACCTTTGTGGGCTGAAATATGTCCCTCTGAACATATACTAAAGGTCTAGCACCTGGTATTGTGAATATGATCTCACTGTGGAAATAGGGTCGTTGAAGATCTAGGTAGTTAAGATGAGGTTGTTAAAGTGGGCCCAGGGTCATCACTTACTTCTGTGAGAAGTCAAATTCACTATGAGTGGTGTCCTTGTGAGAGACACAGACCCACAGTCACACAGGAAGTATGCCAAATGAAGTCAGAATTCTGGAGTGGTACTAGCTGGGAAATGCCAGGATTGAAAACTGCCACCAGAAGCTAGAAAGAGCAACCAAGGATTTTTTCCTGCAGGTCTCAGAGTGGGCATGACCATGCTGACATGTTGATTTAGGTATTCTGGCTCCCAGAACTGTGAAAAAATAAATTTCTATGGTTGGAAACCATCCAGTCTCCAATACTTTGTGACAGCAGCACTGAGAAATACTACATTTAAAAAAATTATTGAATGATTTATGTTAAAATAATCATATGATGGACTTTATTGAAGACCATCACAATAAATACAGAAATCACAGCAATAGGGCTTTGCAGTGGGGTTAGAGATTGATTTCATCTTTGACTATAACATATGTAAGCAGAAATTTATAGTCAAGGAGCAAAGTAAGAAGTCAATATGTGAAAAATTGTTAAAAGGAAAACTCAGCAGTAAAGGAATTCTGGGTAAACAGATCTAATATCATATATGGCATTTTAGCTCTGGCAGAAGAAAGAGGTAAGCATTCCTGAGTCTCCCTACAGTGCAGAAAATGTAGTAGCTTTACACACATAAACAAGGTCTTCCAGGATCTGCTTTCCCTGATCTCAGAGGAGAGAAGAGGATAAAACTCAAAGCTCTCATATTTTTCTAAAAGTGGTTCTACACAAGGAACATACCATGGATGTAAGCGGTTTCAATTTTCTAATCAAAAGGTATACAGTAACAACACATTCCTGAACAACAGATGGATGAAACAAGAAAGATATAAAAATATCTTGAGACAAAAAAATAGAAACACAACATAGCAAAATTTATAAATTGCATGAAATATAATTCTAAAGAGGAAATTTATAGCTGAAAGCATGTACAACAGGAAAGAATAAATATCCAAGTGAACTATTGAATGTTATACTTTATTTTTTCCAACAAATGGGTTTAATAAATATCTACAGAGTTTTACCCAACAAAAACATAATATGCAATCCTTACCAGCAGTATATCAAACATTCTCCAAAACAGACCACTTCTAGCCAGTAAAACATGCTTAAATCCATGCAAAAGAATAAAAATAATACCATGCATACATCAGATCATTGTGCAATGCAACTTAAAATCAGTGGGAAAAAATTACAGAAATTATACAAATAAGTGGGAATTAAATGATACATATGAATAATCAATGATCTCACAGAAGAGATCAAAGACAATACCTGGTAAAATATGCCAGAATTTTCTAGAATCAATGAGAACAATCTGAAGAAGCAAGCTGATAAGTGTGAGTGCCCACATTAGCACAACAGGGTGAGTCCAAATAAATGAACCAATACCATACCTCACAGTCCTAGAAGGAAAAAAAAAACCACATCCAAGACCAGTATAAGGAAGCTTAAATGTTATACTTTAAAGAACTAAAGAAGAACAAAGTAAGACCACAGCAGAAGGAAAAATCTACAAAGAGAAGAAGAGAAATAAGAGAAATAAACACTATAAAAACAGAAAAAAATCACTAAGAACCGGGATGATATTTTTTTAAAAGGCTTAACCTTGACAAATCATTAGCTAGTCTAAGAAAAAAGTAAAACATTCAAATAAAGTAGAGGATAGATTATAATTGATACTATAGAAGTTCTAATAATCATGACAAACTATTATAGACAATCACATACACTCCAAAATTGAATAATCTACAAGAAATGGATAAATTCCTACAAACGTATAGTATACGAATTATGGAGAAATTATGAAGAAATTTCAGCCCACACCTCGTCATCGGTGTGCTGGGTGGATCTGGGGCACCTGCATCAGCCTCCCCTTGTGTCTGGAGGACTGTGGATACCTCAGCAAGCAAGGGAGGATCGCAGGTTCCAGAGGCACCATGGCCTGCTCAGCGCACTCTGCCCAAAGCCCAGACTGTTCGGGACCCTCCAGGCTTCCAGGTGCAGTGAAGTGGAGAAGTAGGTTTGAGGCCTCTACATCCGCCTACCCATCCGGGCTGCACTTGGAGAACTGTGGAGCTTCCAACAGGTGGGCGGGCCCACGCTATCCCCAGAGCCCATCCTGTTTGGGACTCTCGCACCTTGCCATCGGTGTGCAGAGGAGGGGCTGGGCGGATCTAGGGTGCCTGCATCAGCCTCCCCATGTGTCTGGAGGACTGTGGATGTCTCAGCGGGCAGTGGAGCATTGCAGGTTCCAGAGACCCTGCAGCCTGTGTTGAGTGCTCAGCACACTCTGCCCAAAGCAGACTGTTCGGGTCCCTCCAGGCTTCTGGGTGCAGTGAAGTAGAGAGTTGGGTATGAAGCGTCTACATCTGCCTCCACAGCACGGCTGCACTTGGAGAGCTGTGGAGCTTCCAAAGGGCAGGTGGGCGCACAGTATCCCTGAGGCCCAGCTTATCTGGAACTGCGGACTTCTAAACAGGCAGAGGAGGGCGATTGGTGCTGTAGGCCCAGTGGCTTGGGGTAACAGGGTGCCAGAGTCTCAGGAGCTGCAGACATAGAAGGGGATTTCCAACAGACCCTGAGGAAGCTTTCAAATAACACTTGAAAGACAGAAATATAGGAAAATGACAAAACGAAAGACCAAATTACAACCTCAAACCTACAACCCATCTCAAGAAACACGAGGAGCAATGTATATAGAAGAAAATATATGCCATTCACCTCAAATATCAGACACAATAGCTACTGAAATTAACAACCAGCTCCAGAAAGCTTTAAAGAAATTCAAACTCGAAATAATCTCCGAGGTAAAAGATGAAATGATAAAAGAAATGAAAGAGATTCTGAATATATCTAAAGAAAACACAGATAAAAAATTGGAGGAACTAAACAAAAAAATAGAATCCCTAGACTAGCAATATAACAAACAAACAATACATAATGCAGATGCACAGAGATATACAGGAAATAAAAAACTCCACTGAAAGTTGTAAAAACCACATAATGAAAGTGAAGACAGAATTTCAGACCTTGAAGACAGGATTGCAGCTAGTGAATAGGAAAGGAAAAATCTTTTAAAAATAACAAGGAATCAGAAAACAATTCAACAACTGCAAGCTGATGCAAAGAAAAATAATATAAGAATGATAGGGATTAATGAAAAAGAAGGAGACAACATAAAGGATGTCAAGAGGATATTTAGAGAAGTAATAGCTGAAAATTTCCCAAGCATGAGATCAGAAACTGACATCAGGATCAGTGAAGCATATAGAACTCCAAATAGTCATAACCAAAATAAAACTACACCCAGACATATAATAATCACCATCCCAGAAATCCAACACAAGAATAGATTATTAAAAGCTGTCAGAGAGAAAAGACAGATCACTTATAAAGGAAAACCTATCAGAATCACAGCAGACTTCTCAGGACAAACAATAAAGTCAAGAAGAGAATGGAGTGAAGTATTCCAGATCCTAAAGCAAAATGATTTCCAACCTAGACTGATGTATCCTGAAAAAATATCATTCAAAATTGATGGGGAAATACGATACTTCCATGACAAAGAACAGCTGAAGAACTTCATGAACACCAAACCAACCCTGCAAAAAATATTGAAAGACAGTTTAGATACACAAAGGAAAAAACAACTAAGCAAAACAGATAATTAAACAGAACAGAAAGATAAAGATGCAACAGCAGAGAGATAACATGTCAACAATAAACCAACATATAACAGTTATAGCCATTAATGTAAATGGTCTCAATGCACCAATCAAAAGAAACAGACTAGCAGAATGGATCAAGAAACAAAATCCAACCATATGCTGTTTACAGGAGACCCATCTAACCCAGAAGGATACTCACAGACTGAAAGTTAAAGATTGGAAAACAATACTTCATGCAGCAGGAATCCAAAAAAAGGCAGGAGTAGCCATTGTGTTTGCAGACAACGTGAACTTTAAACCAACAATGACCATAAAGGACAAAGAAGGTCACTACATACTCGTAAGGGGAAAACTCCAAGAGGAAGAGATAACTATCTTAAATATATACGCACCAAACTCCAGAGCACGCAGTTATATAAAACAACTATTAACAGAAATGAAAACTCAAATTATCAGTAACACAATTGTAACAGGGGACCTCAATATGCCATTGACACCAAGGGACAGATCAACCAGACAGAAAATGAGCAAAGAAATAACAGAACTGAATCACACCTGCGAACAAATGGATTTGATAGACATATACAGAATGCTCCATCCAACAACAGCAGAATACACATTCTTCTCAGCAGTACATGGATCATTCTCTAAAATAGACCATATATTAACAGTTTTGGAAGAATGGCCATTTTCACAATGTTTGTTCTTCCTATCCATGAGCAAGGGATGACTTTCCATATTCCGAGATCACCTTAAATTTCTTTTTTCACAAACATTGTGAAAATGGCCATTCTTTGGATTGTTTTCTTAGAGTCCATTGCATTGATTTCTGCTCTGATTTTTTGGATTGTTGATTCTTTGGATTGTTTTCTTAGTCTCTATTGCATTGATTTCATCAAACAAATGAATCATTTCATTCACTGATTGAAAGACAGTTGGTTCTTTGAAAGAATGAATAAAATCGATAAGCCCCTAGTGAACCTTATTTTAAAAAAGGAAGAAAAAGCTCAAATTCATGCAATAAGAAATGAAAAAGGTGAAATCACTACAGACCCAATAGAAATACAGAAGATCATCAACACCTATTTTGAAAACCTCTACTCTCAAAAGTTAGATAACACAGAAGAAATAGACAGATTCTTAGAAACATATGAAGTACCAAAGCTAGATCAAGAGGATGTAAAACTGTTGAATAACCCAATCTCTGTTAATGAAATTGAAACTGTAATTAAGTCCTTACCTACAAAGAAGAACCCAGGCCCAGATGGATTCACTGCAGAATTCTACAACAAATACATAGGAGACCTAATGCCGACACTCCTCAAACTATTCAATGAAATTGAAAGGGAAGCAATCCTTCCTAAGTCATTCCTGGAAGAAAATATTACTCTAGTACCAAAACCTGAGAAAGACCCAACTAAAAAAGAGAACTATAGACCGATCTCCCTAATGAACACAGATGCAAAAATCCTCAATAAAATATTGGCAAATAGGATCCAGCAAATCATCAAGAAGATTATACACCATGACCAAGTGGCATTCATACCAGGAATGCAAGGATGGTTCAATATA